ATTGAGTGATACCACAAAGATGGCCAGTAACATGTAAAGTATCTGCTTGCAGCTGGCCATGGCTATTGCATTAGTATATCTGAAGTATTCTTTGCTTGGCTTTATATACTGTTGTTTCTTTATACATTTAGTTTCAATATGTGCACATGTTGCAGTTTTAAGTAGTAACTATATGCCAGACGCAGGTTACGAAACACTGAATGTGAAATCAATGTTTATTATTGGACACTGTGCAGTGTATTGATTAGTTTCAATCCACATGCACAATCTTTTGGTTTGTTACACAGGTGTGAAAAACTAAACTTTGAAAGATTCATGACATGGAGATCTGTTATTTTCTATATTTTATTGATAACATAATAACAATCTATGTAAAATCAAAGTACAAATTACATTCACTATCATAATAATAAAGTCTATAATTTTACAAGTAAGTCAACAACGACAACAATAATAATAATTAGTAGAATTTTATTAAACAGGAGTAGAGTAAGCAATGTAGCTAGGAGGAGAGGGATGACTCTGTCCAACAGGTGAGCTCAATGAAAGCTCTTTAAGAGCATCCTTAAACCTGGTTTTATCCAGAGCTTTAGAAATACCTAGCTCTTTCAATAGTTCTTCAAGATATTCCTTCTGATGCGCATATAACAACATGTCTACATCAACACCAGCAGAATCTAACTTCTTCTTGTGCTGGTTTAGTTTACCACCTCCTGATGTTGAGGTAAGTGCCTTCATATCATGGAAGGACTCTTCCCTGTCAATGCCCTGTAGCTCCCTTCTGAACTGAACTGCAATTTGAGTGCTATGGACAGCACTGGCTACTCCAAGATCAGAAAATACTTCACGACCCGCCGAGAGAAGTAGTGACCCATTTATTTCCTCATCAAGAAAAACTTGAGCATACTGTCCAAGATTGATGCTGGCTAGAAAATCAGCTATTTTATCAGGAGTGTATTCTCTTGCTTGAGTTGCTTGATCTTCTACATCTATGTGCAAGATATGACAATAATTATATACACCCTCCTGGATCCATTTTTACAACTACTTTATAAGGAAGCTATATATATAGTTCAATATTTTTGACCATGCATGTACATAAAGCATAAACTTTTCTATACCTTTCTTTTGTGTTATTAATTTCAGCATTTCCTCTCTCAACTGTGGATCTTCTAAACCTCGTCTTAAAGTGTCCTGTACTTCATGACCCACTCCAGCCATTGTAGTGAATCCACTATTGAGAGTTGTCAAAGAATTATTAAGGAGTAAATTAGGATCATTGTAATCCATTGATATGGGCTCATATGAGTCTTGATCATACATTGTAGCTGATGCACCAGGTACAATGATATTATCATCATTCAAAACATCAGCTAAACCACTGGTGCTGTCTGTGTCAGAATCCTCACCACAAAAACCATAGCCACCAGTAATGTCTTCATTCAGCAGTGCTGGATCAATATACATAAAACCTGCAGAATGTGAACAATAAAGTGTAATAAGATGATGGATTCTTGCCTTCATCTCTGAGGTTAGTAAGATAATCATTCCACAAGTTGTCAACATATTCAGTCCACACTGTTGAACTGTGATCAGGCAATAGTGAGGACTCAATTGCTAGTCTCTGCTCTACACTTGATATCAACCTACAAGAGGTGAAATGTAGTGATATTAATGAACTGAACTTTTTGTGTTTATTCATTATTTTCATATACCTTCTTAAATGTAGCCTCAGTTGTACATAATGATGCACAGACACTGTATCAGGAATCAATTTCAATATCTCCTCATCTTCTAATAAACCTAGCTCCTTCAATACAGACATCATTGGCTTCTGGTGAGAATGAGAGAATCTAATTAGGAGTCTAATTACCAGGTTCTTACCCTATGACTAGCCTCCTCATTCACTTCCTTAATCAAATAAGCTTCAACGTGAATAAGGACCTCATTAAGTCCCTTCAACTCTGATAGTAACTGAGACCAAGTGCCGTTAAAAGCAGCTGGTATTTCATCAATAGTCACAGAGTCTTCTTGTAAGAGATGAACTTTAAGTGCAACTGGTAGAAAACTGAAGTCATAAAACCCTTCCTTGACCCAGCGGAGAAAGAGGGAGAGTGAAGCATACACAAAGCATAAAGGAAGACTCTCCAGGAAGCTAGTCTGTGCTACAGTTAAGCTATAAAAATAAATTAAATAAAGATTAAAAAATAAAAGCTATATAGAAAAATTTTTTTAAATAAAAGAAGTTTCTCCATGGTCATATATACAGAAAAACAGAAAAGCAATGGTCCTTGCTCTAATACTCTTCCTGTGTATACATGTACTTGCTTTTTTGCTTACTTTCTAATTCCAATTTCATTTAGTATGTTAGTCTTTCTGTTACTCTCATCGTGCAGTTGCTGTTCTTCAAACTGATTGCACAAGAAGGAACGGAGCAAACTGTTCTGTGTCTGTTGATTTACTGAACCATCACGTGGTATTACCTAATAATAATAAATAGTAATAATAATAATAATTTAATTGATGAAATACTCTGTACTCCTGGGAAAATCTAAATTTGGCCCAAGACCATTAAATCAATTCCTTTTTGATGTAACTGACCTTGACAAGATGGCCCAGTGCTGTCTTTAGACCAACAACAATCTCAGTCAGGGAATGATAAGAGCAATTATGGAAGTCATATTCTAATCTCCTCTCAAGGTTAGGTTGCAGCGGAGACTGGAGGGAAGGGTGGAGTGTGTCCTCAATAGACGACAGGCTGTAGGCCCCACCCATTGGACTAAAAATAAAAATAAAATACCAATTTAAAACTTGAATATAAACTCCGCCCCCAAGATATAATTAAGGCACACCCACTTACTCTGAGACTGTTCTTTTAATGACGGGAGCTTTAGAGTGACGGAACTTGAAGAGAGTTCTTAAACTGGATACGTCTCGTATGATGGGTTTTCCGGACAGATAATGGCGGACAATAACTTCTTGCAGCTGGGGCAGATTGAAAGAGAGATGAGTAATAGGTAGTGATCTTTCGTCAGTTATTGACATTAACTTTGGAGTGGAGCGCAGTAAAGTTGGAGTCCCTCTGATGTAAGACGTACTCGTAAAACCATTGGACTCTATTCTGCAGCGAACCAACTGGAGAAACTCACTAATAGTACGATGACTATTGTTAAAAAGAGCGAAAATAAGAGCATTAAAACAAATAAATGTACAAAGCATATAAACAATTTAGAATTATTTTAAAAAGAAATAGATACAATTATAAATCAGTACATATAATTAGCATACACAATGTACCTAAAATGGTACAAAATTTAGAACATTGAATTACAAATAAAAGTAAGTCTATAACTTCATCCCTCACCTGCTTTGTTTCCCAACTATGCAGCTGTGTTCATTAGCCTCAGTTCCGTATATATAAGTAGTTTCTGGAAGCAAACGAGCCAATGGATGGTCCCTCTCTCCCTCCACGTTAACGTACAATGACTGAACCAGCAGGTTCTGTGATCCAACAATGTCCTCAATGACAGTGTACAACCAATCATTACCATCACCTTCATCCTGGAAAAAAGAATTTAGAATTAACATTTGTTAAGTTTTAATTTAAAACACTGATGATATACATGTATATACATGTACAGGTAGGCCAGACAAGATGCGAATTTGTATGCAGTAGCCATTTTCTTTCTCTTACTTGAGAATCGGAGAGGAAGTGAAGGAACGGAAGGTCATCAGCAATAACGTACATCCTGTTACCTCTCCTCACTGCTGCACACGCCCCCTGACCTATAGCTCCACCCACAAGCTCAACATACTGATTATACTTATCTAAAATAACAATGAGTATAATAAAATTAAAAATATACTTATGCAGCACCTTTGACCCTCTGGTAAAGATCAAGGAGTCCAGGGTAACTGTGACGACTGGCCAGCTTGATGACACGACCGATGGTAAGTTTATTGTAAGCTCTTTCCAGAGAGACAAGATGAGAGAGATGAGTGTGAATCCATTGATAGAGTTGGATGAGGTCTGGCAGCAACTGGCCTCCAACCTACATGAAGAGAAGAGACAGTTCTAATTGTATCATTAATTTATTACTGACCTGTAATCTTTCCTTTTCCAGTACAAATCTTTGCAACATTCCAACGCCAGTAGATCCTTCTCCATCATTACCTCCACTTTCTCCTTGAATGACATTAACAAAATCTTTTTCACTCGGGAATTTAGGATAACAGGACTCAAGATGTCTGAAAGAAAGAGAGAAAAGTATTCATTATCGTTATCACTTTTACTGTTCATTACCTTATGTTAACAAAGAGCTGATTCTGCCACAGTATCTCATACTGAGAGAACTAAGAGAGAAGAAATGTTTCAGTACCATGATCATAAATTAAGAAGCTTACCTTTTCCCTCAGTTCCAGTCTAGCAGGTACGAATATCCTGTTATGCCACATACTCTCATACTCATTAAGTTCTTCCATGGTTCTCATCTTCCCGATTAGATTAATGTTAGGATCACTGTTGATCTGATACATGTTCATCAAACAGCGAGTGACGAGGAAGGACCTCTCTTCATCAGAAACCCCGAGATTATTTCTCATGTGTGCCCACATTGTCCTCAACTGCGATACACAGTAATGTCTCACTGCCTGCCAGTCAGAGATAATGTCACCATGAATACGATTCTGTGACTGATAAAATTAAACACAAATCATTCAGTATTAATAATAATAATAATTATAATAATTATTATTATTATTATTTACTTACTTCAGTTTGTGTTAATAAAGAGATGCTGAATGCTCCAAAGTTGGCCCAAAGTAAGAAGTAGAGCGAGTGAAGAGTGTAAGTTCCTCTGGTGGCATGAGCAATGTAGTCTGGTCGGCCATATTGACCATCAGCTGTCAATTCAACACCACAGTCGTACAACAGACCCTCTGGGCTTATCTTTGATTTATACTAACAATAAAAAATATAAAAAATAGAAATAAAATGTGCTTGAAGCAGAGGATATAGCAGCTATCTCTCAAATAAAGAATAGAATAGGATTAAGATATGTACCATGAATCCAGTCATGTAGGTGTCTTTAAGCTCATGAGGAGAGAACAAATGATACCACAAGTGATTAGACTGAGGCTGACAGCCAAGTATAGTAGCAATAAGGTTAGCAAGACAATGGCACATGTCCAGTTCTGACTGATCTATAGATAATGAAGGAAAGAATCAGATTACAGTGTTTTAACTTGGTACACGTATAACGATCATGATGACGATAGCTTCCTTCCCCTTACCTCTTGGTCTCAGTTGAGGCGGCACTAATAATTCATAAAGAGGATCCACCTCTTCCCCTTCATGCTGAACCTTTGCAACGCGTCCATTAGGACCCATTTGTAAAACCTTAAAAAGAATACACAATCACATGACAATCACATGAATACCATAAACAGTCACATGATAATCATTTAAGTACTCACAGGTGCATCCTCTCTTAGCGGTATCGGTGATTCAGGTTTCTTGATAAGCCAGCGAGGGTACAGGAAGCACTGTATAAGTCTTATGACTCCGTCATCTTTGATGTAAGGCTTGAGCTGCTGGGCTATTACAAGACTCACGGGTCGAGAGGTTTTCTATCATCAAATAATCAAACAAAAATGAAACCTTTTTCTGCATGCATACTTTTGCAAAGAAAAAGTCATAATAGCTGACTAGCCAGAGCATCATTCGGAATGCAAATTTCTTTTCAATTTGGGGCACACCCGAGTCCGTTACTCTTGATTGTTTACGAGGAACTTTTGAACTAAAAAAAGAAAAATCAAAAATACCATCTCCTAATAAGTTCTCTCTCTTACCAGTCGTCAGCAATCTTAACCAGCTGGTCAATGGCCGCCTGTGATCCCCTGCTCTGATCCACGGCAAGCATGGCAGTCTTCACCTGATGATAGAGTTTACTGAGCTGACTCTCATCATTAACTTGCATGAACGGAAACAGGTAAGGCTTACTCTCAGACTGGGTCTAAAAATAGGAACGATTGCAAAATTATAATAACACTTTATTAGAGGATATACTGTAGCCCTCCTCACATTCACAAAACATACTTTAAGCTGCTGGTGGAATCCCTGCATACACTGTATGTCCTGGAGGTGCTGATATCTTGTGGTTAATAATTCTGTGAACTTCCTGGCACTGTTGAGGTGACGGAGGAGGTGCATACCCAGCGAGAGGTGGTGCCCTCCTCCTAATCCTCCGCCCATTGATTCCTCACTCAATATCTCATTGAGCTCATCAATCACTGGAGTCAACTATAGGGAATGAATACAGTATATGTATCATGATACCATTACACTGTACATGTACATATACATGTAATTCTAGTGCTATAGAACTCACATCTTTATTCTTGATTGGCTTATTTGGATCACAGTTAAACAGAACTGCCACTTGTTTCAATAGACACTGAACTACAGCTTGCTTCTCAATATGGAGGAGCATCTTCTCACCAGTTGGTATGGACTGGGGCCTATACAACTGAAGAAAGAAAAAAAAGAATAAATAAATAAAATATTAAAAATGTCTTCTCCTTTACTTGACTGATGGTGCCGACTAGCCTAACTAAACTGTTCACGTCTCTTGGCTCGGCCATTAAATGCTCCAGCAAGGTCAGGAAATACAAATGGCACAATGGCTGCTGCATCAGGCGACTCTAACATAACAAAGATGATAAATTATTAATAATAGTATTTTATGGTTCGGTTGTAAATTACGTCAGTTTGTTTCTTCAATGCTTTACAGTCTTGATAGAACACTGGCACATAGCATGAGGCCTCGTCACCATTACTATCAGCTGAGAGGACTTCAGCAACATGTTGACGAGCCTTTAAAGAATTAAAATATAAATACATACATCATTTAATTAAAGTCTCACAAAATTGATACATATTCAAGACACACCCCTTTATACAACAAAGCCCCGCCCATACTTACATCAGGTTGATACATAAGCAACGGACCACTGTAAGAGAGGTCAGTGGATTGAGTTGAAGTGTCTTCACTTAATGTTTGCTGCTCTTGTTGCTCACATACCCCAAGGATACGTGAGAGATACATCTTGAAGACGAACATGGACACACAGCCTGAGGGTATGTCGGCCATTATGTGGGGTCTATAGCGAGTTCTTTGTAACGATGACTCCATAGCCGAGACCAAATCACCGGAATAACTGGAACTGACTACCACTTCGTTAAGGAGCTGATCTGATGCTCGCCATTCCTGCTGAGCGTTGGCTAGTTTCAGAAACCAATCACGATCATCAGGATGGAAGTTTGTTCTAACGAGAAAAATAATTGAAATATTTACTTAAAAAATAATAATTACTTATGCTGTGAAAAGAAGTGCTCAAAAAGTCCTTCGATTATTCTACGAAAGAGCTCAATTTGTGGCACCTTGGTATCGGTTGATTTCTTAATGAGTTCAGCAAGAACGTTAGCACATTCGTTGAGACGAGGTACCTGTGTGTTATCCTTTAACTAAGAGAGAGAGAGAGAAAGATGAAATAGAATTAAATTATTAAGGACACTGCAGATTGCAAAAATAAAAGGAATAAAAATCAGGCAAAAATCAAATGAAATAGGACATTAATTATATCATTTACTGTCAAATTTCTATAGAAGTATTGAGTCAGTAAATTGATGGATATTTCTGTAGATTTATTGAGCGTCTCTTTTGATTGTCTCGTTGAGCTGTGAATGAACAAGAAAGAACTCTGCATTATATTGAACTTTGCTTCTTCCTCAGGAGGCAGTGGAGTGGAGTAAAGATGGACTACTAGGGCTGGCATTGTCATTACTTGAAGATAAGCATTGTACCAGTCGTAAAGAATATCAAAATTAAAACCTAGAGGAGGGGAAAATAAAACCAGCACACACATACAATACTACCTACCATTATCGTCATCATCTCCTTCAACTTTCTCCTTAGGATAGACGGACCCGACAAGAGAAGAGAAAAGTGCCGACACGACAAACTGACTTAATTTCTGAGGATCACCGAAAGGAATCTTAGTCTGTTCAATGGCAGCTATGAACTCTCTGGCAGGAGATTGTGATTTGGGTGTCAAACGACTAGGGGCCTCCTCGGCAACGTGCCAGATCCTCTCTAGAGGACGCAGTAAGGAGGCAATGTTCCCAAGACTCAGCTTGTTGTATTCGACGTAAATATGTAAATAGACCAGACGATAGATTGGAGGCTGGGAGTATAGGTCTGAGAAGAAGGCACAGATTATACGATGGGACAGTGATGTTACTCCTCCTTCAAGATGGAGGCAGTTGTGAATGAAATCAGTAAAGTATCTAGTCCAGAGTTCCTCAGACTCAGCGTTGAATAATGACAGGGCAGTGAAGACAGCTGGCTTCTTTGATAGTGTTCCCTACAGAAAATATTATTAATAAAATTGTCATTTTAAAATGGCCATAACTCAAAAATTTCTTGTCGGAATAGCCTCAAACTTTCTACGCAGCATAAGTACATCAATATGTATCAGAAAATGTAATAAAAATTGGGGGTGATTTTGGAGCCATTTTTCGGAAAAAACCATGGGCTATAGCCTTGGGTAGTTTTTGAAAATTGGCCCGTTTTTAAAAATGGCCGTAACTCGAAAATTTCTTGTCGAAATCGCCTCAAACTTTCTACATGGCATAAGTACATCAATATGCATCAGAAAATGTAACAAAAATTGGGGGTGACTTCGGAGCCATTTTTTAGAAAAAACCATGGGCTATAGCCTTGGGTAGTTTTTGAAAATTGGCCCGTTTTTAAAAATGGCCGTAACTCGAAAATTTCTTGTCGAAATCGCCTCAAACTTTCTACATGGCATAAGTACATCAATATGCATCAGAAAATGTAATAAAAATTGGGGGTGATTTCGGAGCCATTTTTCGGAAAAAACCATGGGCTATAGTACAGGGAAATTGTCAGAAAATGGCCATATATTTCTCTCCTCAAATATCATCACCAATAACTACCTAATAACTACTGTACCTGAATTTCTCGTTCTATCCTTTGAATAACATGATCAGCGACTGCCTTTATTCCAGCCTCAAAGTCACCTTGAAAGTTTGACGAAGGGGGTGGGGTCTCGCCCTCAATCCCAGCTTCCTCTAATATATTCTCCTGCTGTCCACGAGCTATTTTTGCTTCATCTATCAACTTCTCCATGTCCTTATACACCAAACTAACAAGAAAGGAGAGTGAAAGTTGATAAAGATTGAGCTAATACATGTACATTGTAAATATTGGTTCCTTTTTACATGTACTGTAAACCTATTAATATTAGCGGCTATTTTATTTAGCGTTTATGCTTAAATGTCAAATTAGCGACTATTAAATTTGGCGTATCATTAAACCTTTCCCACTTTTCTGTTAGCTGCTGCTGTTGCTCCACTGGGTTCTCCTTCCTCTGGTAGCGTTGCCGACCGAGCAGAAGAGAGCTATCCACTATAGTATAGTGTCTGCATAGATACTGTATCTATGGTATCAGCGACATTTTGTGATCACGTGACCAGGTGTTTTTATTAGCGAATATTAAATTTAGCGTGTTTAGGCTCTTCGCTAATATCGCTAAAATAAGTAGCACGCTAAAATTTGTAGTTTTACAGTATTTTAAAGCTTCTGCATATGTACATGACAAAAGCTTACTTAAAGAAAGGGAATGATGGCTGATGCTCCTGTGGTTTAGGGACAGGCAAAGAAGAAGCAAGCAGTTTTAGGTTATCAAACTTTGGAACGTTAACAGAGTCAATAAGAGCTAGGAAGAGTTTGTTAACAGCCTCCGAAGAACCATCGGGAGAGAAGAGAACGTCAATGTTACGATTCTCGTTGATTCTACTCATCATGACGATCATGAAATCAGTGAATATTGATTGAAATATCGTCTGAACAGCGTCAGTGATATTAAGACTTGATTCGTGAGATTGAGTAAATATGGCCGCCCTCTCCAAGTGCTCAACCATCACAGAGGGTTTCCAAAATGATCGGAACACGGAGAGTAGTTTAGGCCCAAGACCCTTTTCTTCTAAAAGTTCTTTTAGTTTGTTATTTCGTTCTGAGGCTTTCATAGGTCGGGTAAAGGGGCCATTTGAACGAGTACCATAATTGACGTGAGAGGCAAGAACTGGTATGACACCTTTCAGGAGATGATGAGATGATTTCATTAATGTATCCTCAGCAAATACTAAAGAGAGAAAGAGAGAGAGAATTTTAATAACGTGTATGTATTATCACTTATAAATAAATCCCATAGTTCATGATGCACGCATAAATACATCTACTAGTATTAAGCTCTCTTCTCTCCCTCTCTCTTACCTTTCTCGGGGAAGCAGCACCGTTGGAACCACTCCTCGATGTCAAGGGTTCCAGGATGAGCACTGGAGCTCCGCCCAATAGAATCCAAATAATAATGACTCCACCCTCTTAGGAAGAGAGACGGATAGCAGGCATCAAAGAACATGGCGGGAGGGAAGTGAAGCAAAAGTACGAATAATTTACAGGACGTTGGTACAGCTAGAGTCTCTGCTTCTTCAATCATAACACGAAGGTGATTAACAGTATCCTGCTTCACTTCCTATGGTGATACACACACAATAATGCCAGTATATTAATGTGAAAAAATTGACAACATAAAAGCTGTAATTTTGCTTCATTTTGTACATGATCAACTGCAAAAAATGAACCAAAACTTTTGACAAATTTTCTGGTTATTTTTCCTGCTATACAAGCATTACTATACTGATCACATGACTCTCACATGACCTACCTGCATATTAGTAACAAGAACCAGTATCTGCTTATCCTGCGATTGTACAAAAGACTTTAGTAGTTCTTGGACATTACTCTGTGACTGCAGTGACGTCACTTTACTAAGGACAACCTTGTCAGGCTGTGAATAAATGAGTTCACTGATTGTCCTCTCTCTTTTATCATCAAGACCTTTAGAATCAGCTAACTGAGAGAAGTTTGAAGGCAGTTCATGAATAATGGGAGATGATCGAGTATATGATAGAACTTTACTGCTACACAAACGATTATCACTAAAGAAAGAATAAAGAGGACATATTTGATTAAAAATTGCACTGGTATAGCATCATATTATAATACACTGCAGCCTTTTACAAAGTGAACTAACTATACATACATTCACTACTTGCAATAAAAATAAGAACATACAGTACTGTACATTAAATGGAGTCATGGACTCACTTACCCTTTACAAGACTCTAATGCTCTTAACTGAAAGTCGATCAGTTTCTTAAGACTAAAGTGTTGCTGATGAGTGAGGTAGTTATCAATATAAGAAGCTGGTATCTGTTTCCTGTGTACTGTCACAGCCTCTGACGTCATCAGTTTCATCAGCTGTTTGGTCATGTGACGGATGAGCCACTGCTGGAGGAGGCCCACCGCTAAACAAGCCTCTGGGGACATGTCAATTTGAGCCCCGACCTCGTCCTGGGGGTCCGGTGCAGTGTGGAGTACCCTGAGGGCCTCGGAGACGGCTTGATGAGCTGATTCTATTGTGAGGTTTTGATGTGCTTCATCAAACGAGGCATCACGACAAAGAAGAGGAAATATGTAGTTAGCATCCATTTCTAACTCACCAACTGTCGTCTAAAAATATAATACAAAAATTAAAAATTAATGACAAAATTGCAATAATTTATGCAAAAATACTAGGCTATAAGTAAAAATACAGAATTTTAAAATAAGTATATTGTATACTTACAACTGGTACTGCAAAACCAGCTGAGTTTCTCAATGAACGAAGTAACTCTTGCAATAAATACAAATCCACATTATCACCTCCTACTGGGGTGTCAGGAGGTGTGGCCTTATAGGTGTGGCCATACGGTGGGAGGAGTGACAAGAGGAGAGAGTCGAGCGTCTCGTTTTTAAGACCATACAAACTGTTACTGCCGTTAACAATGTTAATGAATTCGTCCAGCTAAAAGAGAAAAAACATAAAAATAAAATAAAATAAAATAAATATATTATTTATTCCACCTTTCTCCTAGTAGCCTGCAGTATTACTCTGATGCAAGGGGGAAGGTGTCGTATAGCTGTTGCCAATAGGGTCTGGTGACTAATGCAATATTTCTCAAACCGATTCAAAAATGGAGCGGGCGTGTCCTTCACCTCGCTCTCTCGTACAACGACGACACATTGGAAGTCTCCGTGGACCCGAGAGGGTTTCAAATGGGCCCCTATGGCAATGTTGGCATAGTAACGAGGACCGTGTTCAGGGTCATCGATTCTACGGAACCGCTGGTTGAAAAGGTCGTAGAAACTTTCATGAATATCGTCAGTCTGACTCATAACTACTGTGTGACCTTCAATGGCTGAGTGACGTATTGCAGCTATAGTGTTGATCTAAGGAAGAAGAGGAACATGAAATAATAAAATAAGAGAAATAGCATTAAATAAAGTCTACATGTAGTGAAAATAGTGTGGATGTATTTAAAATGAAAAATACTGTAGAGTGTAGACACAAGTTAAATTCAGAATCAGATGCATAAAAACTAAATCTCACAAAGAGTAAAGTTCTACCTTTTGTACTTGACTGTCTCCAGGGAAATCAGAACAGACATAAACATGAGTCTTCTTTCTGTCGAGTACTTCAAAGGTCATCAGAAGTTGAACTAAACTGCTGTCCTCCGAAGGATCAATGATTAGCTTATAACGAACCTCATTCTCCCCTCCTCCTCTCTCCGGCCGGTCCAGCAATGAAGTGTGGAATACTTCAAGAATGCTTCTCTGATGGACTGAGTCAAGACTAATGGGGGTCTGGCCATCCACTGTCTTCATCTAAAAATAAAAGCGTAATTAATTAATTAATAATTAGTATATTCTCTTACCTTATCCAGAAACAGCTGACAGAGCCATTGAAACGACTCAGTCTCTCCTGGTTCTGTCCAATATATTCCGTTAAAGTTCCTCTCCAGTCCTTCTAGGACCAGTTGTGGGGTCAGTCCGTCTGTCCGCCTCCGACGAAGGAAATTAATGAAATGAATGAAGTCCCTCAAACCGAAAAACTTTTTCATGTTAGTGTTCTCCATGAGGCTCCGATAGGCTGGGCAGAACTGGACGATGATGTCAAGATCCTTACGCAGTTCAGGAGGAGGATTCTGAGGATTATCACAGAGACAACCTTTAGCGAGAGTATTCAGATCATCACTAGAGACCTCGGGACGGAAGAGGCTCACAGCTCGATTGGTTTTAGCAGCATCAAGAACGTGATTGGTAATGGCAACAAATGATACCTCCTGTTTATCAAGGTGATAGTGGAGAACCTTTAAAGACTCGTGGCTCTCTTCTGGGAGCCCGGCCTCGTCCATAAAAACCACACAGTATATTGGGAGAGAGAACTTGGCGTGAGAGCGTTGGCGGTTGATTGCCCGGGAAAACACGGTCTGTATCTCATTAGAGGTGGTCCTCCTAGAGCACTGATAGAAGTGAGGATCAAGGGATTTGAATATATCTGTGTTTCGGAAAAGTGGCATCTTAGATTCTGGTCCTTTGAGATTAGCGATAGTCAGATTAAACGAGAGGGTTTTTGAGCTCCCTGGGGCCCCCACTATAATGAGAGGGGTATGGGTCACTGTACAAACTATGGCGGCAAATATATTCTCTTTGAGAGCCTGGGTCTTTGCTATGCCTGGAGGCAGCTCTATGCTCTCACAGAACCAGTTGAGCTCATCGTTAAACGCTTGAGTGAAATTGACTTCGTTTGGTAGCTTGTACTTCTTATCAAGTATGGCCTGGTAGTCCTTCCTACCCTCACTATCCAACCTCATGTAATACACTATACCTAATATAGTAATAATAATAATGTTATTAATTTATTTAGAACTTCATAAAGATCCCCCAATAAATTTGGTTAAATTTGATAAATAAATACATGTACATGTATGCTATTATTACTATTACTAACCAAGTGAGACCATGACTGCTCTACGATTATAATCAACTTCTTTTTGTCCGTGTAGTCTCACGTTACGATAGACACTCATGAGCCATTGATAGAATGTAAAGACTCTCTGTATGTCTCTCTGACTCACGCAGCTGTGAGACGAGACCTCTACCTCCTCCGGTTTCATCCCTTGCTTCCGGAGCTGACGAGCAGCGTAACGTCTCATTAGGCTCTGACTCTCAACTATGAGATCAGTCAGAGTAACCACCTGAGGAGAGATGAAGGGGGAGGGAGAGAAAATGGTGGAGTGTAGGCAAAGTGTTAAGAGCTAATATTTAAACTACACAAGTTTACTGACCTCAATATTCGGCAGCTGCTGGTGTAACATTTTCAGTTTGGCGGTAATATAGTCTCTCTCCTGGTGCTCATTGAGGGATCCATAGTCCCATATAAGGAATTCAAGGGTTGGGTGCAGGGGTCTCACGTAATAGGAACTTCGGACCCACGTCTCAGCTGCATGTGTCACCATGCTGTTACCACGGTGAGGATTACAGGCAGCAACAATGAACACATTCTGTGGGATTGCCTGAAAAAAAATTGGGGTGATTTTGGAGCCATTTTTTGAAAAAAACTGTTTTTAAAAATGGTCATAACTTGAAAATTTCTTGTCAGAATCAGCTCAAACTTTGTACACAGCATAAGAACATCAATATGTATCAGAAAATGTAATAAAAATTGGGGGTGATTTCGGAGCCCTTTTTTGGAAAAAACCATGGGCTATAGTACAGGGGTTTTTTCAAAAATTGGCCCATTTTTTTAAATGGCTGTAACTCGAAAAATTTAAGTCGGAATTGGCTCAAACTTTCTACACAGCATAAGTACATCAATATGTATCAGAAAATGTAATAAAAATTGGGGGTGATTTCTGAGCCATTTTTTGAAAAAACCATGGGCTATATACAGGGTAAAATTCAGAAATTGGCCTGTTTTTTAAATCCCTATTATGTGTGTGTATGTATAGTTTTGTTACTTACTTGTCCATCAATAGTTCGGTCGATGAGAATCTCTTTGAACAAACCAAGACATGAAGAGGTATTGACTTCATCAAGAAACACCTACAAGCAGAAAATTATAAAAACATAGTTTTAAAAATAATTTTAAAATGTCCTTCTTACAGTCACAAATGGTAGCTTAATCTTTGATTTTTTGAGTTTGTCAGCTTTTTCGTAAACGTCAGACAAAAGCTTAGCTTGAGTAAAGACTGGATTAAAGAACTTTTTAATTTCGTCAGGAGTCAAAGCTAAAAGAGCAATAGATTAAATTAATTTATGACATACAATTAATAATAATAATAATAATATGACAGAGATAATGCTCATAATGTCTGACCAGCATGAACGTTTAGCTTGTGAAATGTCTTCCTAACTCTGGCCTTGAGAACTTTTTGAAGAAGAAGAGCAGTCGTCTAAAGAATTTAACAAAAAATCATCAACCCCACATCTCCTTCTCCCTTCCTCTCTCTCTCTACCTTGCTGGTATTATTAGCTCTTGCTGCTCTGAAGTATTCATCTAACGTCTCCATGTCACCTTCTTTCTCCTCTTTCCTCCTCTTCCTCTTGTTCTCTGAAGGTAGCACCAGTAAAGCACTAGCAGGATTATTGGACATGTCCAGTAGCAGCTGTCTCAGTCGAGTGAAGAACTGTCCACTGGTTGAGGTTGGGTCTGATAGTTCCGCTAGTGTCTCAAGGTTTTCAAGAGGAACCTCACGCCCAACGGCCAGTGCTTCCATGGTCTCAATACACGTTTGGAAGGTATCCAAAGAGTCTTCAGCTTTAGCACCTTTAATAATAATAATAATAATAATAATAATAATAATAATAATAATAATAATAATAATAACAACAACAACAACAATGAATATACATGTAATAGAATTACTTTACCTAATAAATCTCTGATACTGTCAAAGATGATCCCTCTCTCCTTGTTCCACTGATATAGTAATGCGTTGCTCCATAATCTACTCAACATGTCCACTAGAGCAGTCTTACCCACTCCAGTCTCTCCCTTTATGATCACTGGTACCCCGCACTCGTAGCGCTCATTAATATTCAGCATCTTAATTGTGTAGTCCAGGGTTAGGACGTACTGTGCTTCATCAATGGCTGAGAGTCGATTGCCTTCTTCAGCTGGAAGACCAAGTGCTCTTGATAGATATTGATCTAAGATACCTCGCTCTTGTAATTTACTAATGTACGTGTATGTGTGTTTATGTATTGAAAGAATAGGAGAAAGAACAACAACAACAATAATAATAATAACAGTGTTTTTAGCATACGCTGTTGGGTGTAGCTCAAATCCAATGTTACGATATCTCCTCTTGTTCTCTTCTGGAAGGTTCTCCAGATTAAGTGAGAGGAGCCCAAAGCTGCTTCCACCATCACGGAAATCGTATATCAGCTGAAAAGGAAGAGGCAAGAATCACGTCAAAGTGTCAAAATATTTGACACAAAGTATGAGACTTTACAGTAATTACAAATTATACTAGCAAAGTTGCAATATAATTTATGCTTTATTGTGGTTGGTACAACCCATGATAGCCTCATGAAAAATGAGGATTCTCTAGAGGATTCATTCATTCTCTAGTCAAAGATAAAATTTTTGGAATTGGATGAATCACTCGTCCAATCCATCCTTTCACAATTCAAAGCTGAAACAAAAAACTGATGCTGCTAGCTTTAAAGCTCACAGGTACGTGTACATGCATACTTTGAAAAGGAGGACAAAATATATAATAAGTTTCTTACATTCAACAATACAACCCTTTACCTGCTGATGTGGTTTCTTGGACCAGTCCTGCTGTATCGCAGGGTGACAGAAATTGGTCACTTCCTCCAGCATTGTCACCATCAGGGTTGACCCCAACTCTTTAGTATTAGTGTGTCTGCCTGAGCCATCCTTGAGTGGCTCACCCACACCAGTGTTGAAATTAAATGCTGGGAATGTATCAAGAAAAGCACACCTTCTTTTCATGTACCTATAAAAAAAAATAATAATGATGAATAATGCATATACAAGTAGCACCAGTATAGCTTTTATACATGTACATGTACTTACATGATGAATAGTTTTTGTGTCATTTTAGTCATCTGAATGTGGTCAGGCATATACTCAGTGAGAAGTGAGTGACACTCATCAGGAGAAAGGTCCTCATCCAAACTGAATTTTACAATTGGATTAGGTAAATTGGCAGGATAACCAGGTGGAGCTATAGTCAGAAAAAAAGGAAGAGGCAATGGATACTTCTCATTAGAATAAAGGTAAAATTGCCCTAAAATTGGGCCAAAGTCCCTTCAATTTTGATAATTTTTCTGATACACATACATGTGTAGCAAGTTTGAAGTGATTCCAATCAAGTCTGGATTTTTATGAATTTTTTAAGTTACTCAAAAATATGAAACACACAATAAATATTTCGTCAAAAATGGCTAAGAGAGTAAGTGCATTATATATCATACTATATATCATATTATATCATACTGTGATAATACATGTACATGCAACTTACGCTCTTTGTATAGTTTATTGATTCCAGGTTGGCTGTTCCTGTGAGCCTTGAAGGCCCTGAGGTACTTACAGACCAGCTGTACATCAGCATCAACAGCATAAGGAGTGGCGTGATGGATGCAATGAGGAGTCCCCAACAAGCCAAGGGTCGGCAAAGCATTACAAAATAAATGTAGAGACTCTTCCGGTGTAGAATTAGGGCCAAGAGAAGGTACCTCAATGTAAATGGCCCATTCAAGTCCTCCTGGTATGCGAAACGAAGCACCTGTATTGGTATCTTCAACATAGCCAAGGACAAGTAGATCAAAGAAGAACCAGCTGATGGTTTCAACCAGGGTCTTGAGGTGATCCCTTTCACTGTCGTCCTGAGAGTCCTCAGTATTGTAAGGCATTAGGGTAAAGTTAAAGAAAATGGCTGACCCAACACAAGAGCAAGAGAGTATTGATAGCTTGTTTATGGCTGACAGAGGAGTGAAGGCCTCATTGACCGCTATGGTCAGTGATTCCGGACATCGGGACAATTGCTTCCGAATGTGATGAGTTTTACCATCTCCAGCGTGACCAGCTACTAATTGTATGCAGCTGAAGTCTTGAGAGCGGATTATCTTCTTCTTACACTGTTTGGCAGCTGCTTCAAATGATAGCTTCAACCCATCCTTCTGTTAGAACAAAGAGATAACACATTATATTATACCAGTGCAGTATTGGTTGGTATTTCAAACTCTACCTTATATTCTCTGGTAGTGATCCATGGTACTTCCCTTAAAACTGACGGAGCCGTTTCGATAAAATGAACAATTGATTTGTCACAACCTTTAGCTGGCGGTCGTCTTGGTAGATCCATCAACAACTAATACAAACGAAATACATAAGAACAAGTACAGTGATTAGACATACAAGTACAAGTACACGTTACAGTCTTTTCTCAGCCCCTCCCCTCACCTCCTGTAGTTTAAACAGAAGTTTATTAACTTCAAGTATCAGGTAAGTCAGTGAATGGTGTCGTAGTCTCTCGGTAAAAAGGTTCAGTTCTTCTTGTTTTGTTGAAGACGAGCAGCGAAAGACTTCAAAAGGTTCAGGGACTCCTTCATAAAGCTCAGTAATGAGACGAAGCAGCTGGGCATGAGAGTAACCAGGACAATAGTGTAACTGATGGAGGGCCAAGGCCGACGCTAAAAATAGTAACAATATTATCAGTATAACTCAGTAATCTAGTTAGTATACTCTAGTAAATTTAATAAACACACAAATCACAAAGCTTTGATGCCATGAGATTTGAAATAATTGCAAAAAATAGATTACAAAAATGACATAATTTAACTACATCTTCAATACCTGAGCCAGCTGGTGAAGCAATGGAGAACGACATTGTCCTTGGAACTGAGACACTTCCCTTGCGACTGCTCCTCTGCTTGAGGAGGAAAGTACTCAGTTCGGGTGACGTACAAACTGTCTCAAGAAACTTCCCCAGCGTATGCATTGGGGAGTGGTCTTCACCATTACAAAGAGGAACAAGAGCATTCTATAAGAGAAGGAGAAATGAAGTTAAAATGTACAAAATGCACATTTGAATTATTAAAATAGTACAGCAGCAGCATGGTAATAATAATATACATGCATATCCCACCAAACCAGTATAGCAAACCTGTATGACTGGTTCCAAGCAATTCCTGACATGAACTGCATTCTCAAAAAGGAAAGAGATGGAGTGTACAATAGCACTGATATCAATGGAGTCATTTATCAATAGATCATGGAGCTTCAATAGCTTAGGGACTGAGAAGAAGAGCAACCATGTGTACTGCTGACGTAAAGCAACAACCTTCTCCGTCCATTCTTTTAATATGTCTTCAGTCTCTTGTACCTTAAGAAGAGAAGATGTACATACATTTAAAGTCCCTTTTCATTCAATAATAACTTACCATTTTATCAGCTTGAGACACTGGGACTGAACACAGTAGAAAAGGCAAAGACTTATACTCCTGATAGTCAGGATGACCTAACTCATACAACTTAATGTAGAGATCCATTAGCTTGTTAGCAGTCTAAAAAAAAGAGAAAAAATTAATGTGAAAAGATTAAAATAAAGAAATTACAATAAAAATCTGACAGCATTCATTAGTATGCTATCCTTACTGTGTTCAAATGAAGGAACAACTTGATCTTACCACCACCCTCCTTCTCGGCATCAAGGAAACCTAGTTTTCTCACAAAATCAGAAATCTGTTCGTTAGACCACCTCTGATCGACTCCGCCCATCGTTATATTAGAGAAAGGAGCATTAGGATCACGCTGGGCCAGGAGTGGGTTCCCTCCAAAGGTCTGCGGCTGAGGAGATGGGAACACTGTGGGTAATGTTGTGAAATCAGCACCACCAAGTTTATCAATCTCGCTATCACTTAACTTGTCGCTATCTTCCAGCTGGGTCTGTGGTGGGGCTAGCCTGTTCTGGGACCGGAGGGCCTGGGTTTGACTTATCTTCTGCTGCGTCTTGTAGAGCAGGTATATCTGTGGTGAGGAGTGGTGGCCTGATAAAAAGAACTGGTATAAACCAGTTGAGATAATGTTATCGAGCTCATTGGCGACATTCTCAATAGTATCACCCTAAAAAAATAAGAGTAATGAATTAATCAAGAACATTAAAGTCTTATTAAAAATAAAAGAGAGAGAGAGGGGGAGGAGGAGAGAGAAAAGAGATTAAATAAGAGCTGGTGACTCCATCTTTTACCAGTACATTCCCTCATTCAAATCTATTACACATGTACAATGGATTCCCTTACCTCAGCTCTTGAGAACCAGAGCCTAATGAGTGTTATATTCTCGTTCACAGTCTCTAGCTGCTTGAGTCCGTGAGTTGCATCAAGACGAGACACACGACTCATCAGCTCATTAAAACTAATATCGGACTCCATAAAAGGAGAGAGGCACTCAAAGGCGACACGAAGATGGTTAAGAACGTTTTCATCATACTCCTCGTGTTGCAGCTGTGCCGTGATCAACTGGTACTGCTCGTGAAATAAAGCGTTTCCTCTTTGACCCACAAACTGTTTGTCACGTATGAACTGGTAGAAGGCAGCACTGTTAGCTACAGCTGGGAAGAGATTGAGACACTCGTAACTCGTGGCATTCTGTAGACAAAGGGACTTCTTTATAAAGCTCATTTTCTCCATAGCTTCAAGAGGTGTCAGTTTAGCTCGTGAGCCTTCGGGTCTCAGTTCTTCCATTATCTTCAGTAATTCTTTGAGTGTCGGGTCTGATCTACAGTTCTCTAGTCCGTACTGTTCAAAAACAGCATCAATTGTTTGAATGTGATAAGTGAACTGGAAGAGTTCAAGCATTGACCTGACACCATCAAGCCCTAAATTATCGCGATTCATCGTCTCAGAGAAAGTGCGTAGAGTTGAAAACTCTTTCTCTGTGTTGATGGTTTCCAGTTTGATGGCTCCCTCCGCTGTTATATCGGAGTATGTAGCCGTACCTTCCACTATCTTCAGTAGTAAGTCCCTCACTCCTTCTAAAGCTGATTTAAATGTTGTCATTGGAATTCCTTTATATATTTTATCACTTGTCTCTTTTCTAGCAAACGTCACTGAAGGCATCAGTGAGGGTACTAGAGAGAACCCTCCAGCTGGTGGCTTGAGGGACTTGGCTAAGGAACTGGGAGGTTCTATGATGCTCTGAAGTTGCTTCAGTAAATGTTTCTCAAACATTTCACTTTGATGGAGGTGAAAGAAAACCAACATGTCAAGAGATATAATCAGTGGGTCAAGAAAATTAGCTAAATCTTCAATGAGATTCTGTAGGCCGGAGAGAGTAAAGTCTTGAGTCAAATTTAAAGTTACATCATGGCCTGGCTCAAATATCCTATTGTGTGGTGCAGGAATTATATTAACCAACTTTAGCTTGTTTGGTGCTGAGCGATCACCAGGAAAAATAACATGCTTAGCAATGGAGTCTTGAATACCAGGAGGTATAGCCACACCATACTTACTCAGTAAAGAAGGAAGAGTGCAGTATTTAACTTCAGGATGACCAGGTACATAACGCAATAAATAAAGATTCAACTGCTCAAAATTATAACGGTAAGTGTCCTTAACTTGTGTCACGCTGTCCATCTCCATAATACAGGAACCAGCACACACTGCTCTACCCAGAGCATTCAATGCCACACTGTTACTAGCGTAAGACATTAGCTCATCAAAATTGATACTGCCAGAGGTAAACTTCCCCTGCCAGAAGTGTAAAATATCCTGTACTCTCCTAACCCATTGGAAGTACTTCTTAACGTCCTCCCAAGGACAAGTGGCTATTTCTTCAGGAGTGTTCTCAGACAGGAGGCAGTTGCTACCATAGAGTTTACGAGAATTACAATATGTGTTATAGATTATGCCAAGATGTTGTATGACTGTTTGATTATTCACCCAATCAAAGTTATTAGCCGTAACAACTAGTTTACTGCAAGTTGTTGAGACCACACCCCAACAGAATTTCTGACGAGGAGAGAGTGCTCCAAACCAGGAAGGACTCTGGACTAGGAGGTTCACAGAAACAGGAAGAACTGAGCGAATGTGCTCATTATCAGAACCTTCTAGTAATTTTAACTCCGGAACCACCACCTGGAAAAAAATAATGCACAGTATATTTCATAAAATTCTCAACTATGCAATACATTAGATATGAATTCAGTATATTATTAGTAAACTCACCGACTGTAAAACCCCCAGTATGATCCACTGGAAGTTGACGTTATCTTTCTTATCAGTAATATGAGTTATAAGTATTTGGAGCTGTGACATTATAACACCCCGTAAGTTGTTCCTCTGAATATAAGACATCAAGAAATCCTTAAACTGCTGACCAACACTAGTCTCTTCATGTCCCTCTCCCTCTAATGGAGAGGAGGGACGAGGAGCAGCAAAGAGCTGAGGAACTTCAAGTTGAATGAGCTCTGGGATAAAGTCCTTGGCACGTTCACTGTCTTTGTACTTCTCAGCAATTTTAGTGATGAAAGAAAACAAGTAGCTCTGAGATTCTTCACTTCTCATGCTAAAGAAATGAAAGAAAATGGAATAAAAAAGGATAGTAAAACTTCATATAGAAGACACAATGTACATGTGTATATCTTACCGGTCAAGGACAACATTAAAGAATTCGGACCAAGTAGCATCATTTATCCTAACATTAGCCGGTATACGATATTGATTAAGAAACTCGTGAAGAAACTAAAAAATAGAAAAAGGTGATCTTTGCCCTACATATGCTGTTCTCAGGTGTTACGCCCCATACAGCATGCACTGTATAGTTTTACAAACAACACAACACAACACAATAATAATAATAATTACAATTATATTCATTTACATTAAGAGGCCAGATACGAAATGACTTGTACAATACAAAGAACTGCTGAATAGAAAGAATGTGAAAATTTTTCCTAGCATCATTTAAAATTTGATCTGTAACACTTTTACGAAACTCTGCATCTGTCACAATACTGTTCCGCTTCACACCAAGGAATTTCTTTAGGAGTGAGGGGGTGTTAGGATCGGTGAGTTTTACGACAGAAAGGAGGAGTTTTAGCCACATAAGGATCTCAATCCTAAAGTCTTTGTGCTGTTCGCCTTTGTTCCATTGTCTGTTGTACCAGATATCCCTCATACCATCAAGAAATGATATACCCTGAGAGAGAGAAGGGGGGGGAAGAGAGAGAGAGAGAGAGGGAGAGAGAGAGGGGGGAGAGAGAAAGAGAGAGAGTATAACAATATGAAGTACATGTACAGTGTAGATTTAGGTGTTTGAAAACTTATATTTATTGTTTTAAAGTTCTTTACATACATGTATATCACTTTAATTTAGCATTTTAAAGATCTCTTGCTAAATTGGCTAAAATTAGTACTACACACAATTCAAAGTGAACTAGCTATTACCTCTTCTATCACTCCCATTAGTGTTTCTTGTTGACTTGCTTTAACCACCTGTCTCTGGTCAGGATTGCGTAAAAAAGGAGTATAGATAGATCTCAAATTGATCATAACATGAACCAGGAGCTCACGATCACTTCTAACATTACTCTCAAGGCTCATGTAGAAGTCCCTACAAATAGAAAATATATGGTAAGTTACTAATTCATTTCTTGGTCAATTCATTCTAACATGCATCACATGTGTCAGGAGTCCTGTATGTATGGTATAATGGTACATGTACATTCTCCCTAAAATTATCACTCACTCTATACCATTGTCCTTACCTCACAGCTGCTAGTGGTCTAATGTAATATTCATTTGCTACAAAGTTGGTCATGTCATGTGTGGTAAGGCACAGTTCTTCTGGTAGTTGAAGCTTTTTGGAAAAATAAAGGCCTACCTTAAATTCATCAATGACTTCCTTAGTAAGGACAACATGCTGAGCTATTTGTTGCTAAAGAACAGAATAAATTAATTAATGAGAAAATGAGAGGGGCTTACCCTCAGGAGGTGAGTTTGCCAGATATCAATGTCTGACTTTTTAGCCAATCCTTTTTCACTGAGACACTTCAAGTGAACAATTACTATAACAAAACAAGACAATAAAATGAATATATCCCTATATAGTCTTCATCAATCACTCACTCCATATCATTCTTGTTGATATGAATCTGCTCCCTGGAGTGGTAGGAGATTGGCGGGAAGATCTTTTAATTTGAGTCGAGATACTCATGAGTTCTCTACATGCTGTGGCTAAGAGGTTGAAGACACTGGTATTGGCTTCATCAGAACCAAACATGATGTCAAAGTCTTTCCTGAGAGAGAGAGAGAGGGAGGGAAGAGAAAGAAGAAGGGTAATATGTCAAATAGCTCTGTTGCTTACAAGTCAAAAAAATGAAGCAAAGTGTCTGCAATTCTTGCAGGTGAGAGAGCTTCAAATGCATCAATACATTTCGTAATAAAAGGGCCCAACTCGTCACAATCATAAAGTAAACGAAATCTAAAATTGAAAGAAAATAATTTACGTTATACTTTGAATGTAAAATTCCCTCATTGACAATGAAAAATCCAATAAAACATACTTTTTAAAGCGATATGCAAGTATCAGGAGGAATGGAAACTCGGTAGGAAAAGGTTGTTCAAAGTAAAGAAGAAATACATTCTTAATCAAACTGTTGATCTGACTGCTATCTGGTTTAGGCTAAACAAAGAAATGAAAAATAAAACAAGCACATGTACAATGTACATCTTATAAATGCAGTCTATTATGTTAACTATATACTCACTGATTTCTCATACTGTGAGAAGGAGGACATCACTAGTGTGAATGTGCCAGCCTCATAAGTGATGCACTTCATCACTTCACCTTCGAGAACTAGCTTCCTTATCTCTCCCTTAATGTCAAAACTCTGTTTATTAGTCCCAAAAATCTTTCCAAAAACACCTACATTATAGATTAAGAAATTTATAAACAATGATTGTGAATAAGTGAAGTACAGTAGCTATTAGCTCTTTATTTTTAAAAGTTTTTTTAGCTTTTTAATGAGAAATTTCTCACTCTATCATGTTACATTAATAGTATTAATAATGTAGCATATCTACAGACTATAAACTCCGTTAGTACCATCCCACACTATTACTACTACACACACTCGCTGCATGTACAACAACAATTGAACATTAAAACATTCAACAGCTATCAAATCCTCAATAACAGTTATCATAGATACACACTGTACTGTGCATGTGTTGTATTGTAAGAGTATAGTGCATACATTTGCACTTGCTAATGTGCAAAAATCGCTCCTAAAAACAATGAACTATAGCCCATGGTTTATCTAAAAAATGGCTCCGAAATCACCCCCAATTTTTATTACATTTTCTGATACATATTGATGTACTTATGCTGTGTAGAAAGTTTGAGCTGATTCCGACAAGAAATTTTCAAGTTATGGCCATTTTAAAAATGAGCCAATTTCTGAAAAATTCCCTGTACTATAGCCCATGGTTTTTTCCAAAAAATGGCTCCGAAATCACCCCTGATTTTTATTACATTTTCAGATACATATTGATGTCCTTAGACTACGAAGAAAGTTTCAACTAATTCTGAGATCAAAATTTAGAGTTATGGCTCATTTGATTCTCTCAGTAAGCTAATACTGATACTAATAACAAGCCAAAGCACTTTATTATTAATGCTGGAAGCTTATGTCACAAAGAATTCTAAGTTACTACTTTTAAACACTGAATTCCTAACTGACATACCTTTGCTGGGTAGGTCACTTTTACTTGCATTTCGTATGCTGGAGTCCATCCCTGATATTATTGCTGTATCTCCATCTTCTTCACTGCTCGGGAGGCTAATAACTTCAGATGGAGCGACTGACTCGACGCTCTTAACTTCCAGTCTATGTCCAAAAGGAAAACAAGGATTGTCAATGCAATACATAACAATAATAACATAATGTTAGCATGTAAGGCACTTGATGTGTGAGAACAGGTTTATTCGAAAATTCAATCAAAATCAAAACACTCAAACTGCAGAGTGCTATGTTTAGAAACACTATGACATCGTCGAATAATGTTACTATAAATACCTCAGTGGTCAAAGGCTGGAGCACAATAGTAACAAGAGCATGAAAATGTGACATAAATCAGTCTGCACTGCTGTATATTAGTAAAGAGTATTTCCTTGTTTATTTTACTACTATAGCAACACTAAATGAAGGTTTATTTTACAAGGACATAGTTTATATACAGTACAAGTACATAGTTTATATTATAGTACTAGTAGGGTAGGGTAGTCACTATCAATCCGAATTGTAAATACACATTCACTCAGGAACATACTTGGCATGAATCTCATGCTCATCATTAAAGAACTCGTAGAGTGAAGAGCCTTCGCTAGCACTCAAGACAGCAATGAGGTAATTATTGAAACCTTCCAGCAAAGAAGAGAACTTCTTAGAAAGAATCTGGCTCTCCTCATTGTTAATTATAATGACAGCCATTGCATGTGCAGACCGGTAAGCCTCAATGGCCTCCTTGAGGTCATCACCTTCTCTTAGATCATGGACTCTTATGTGCTCACTCTCGACGTGAAATAAAGACAATAGACGCCAGTCAACACGTTTGGGCTGTCCAGTGATATAGGGACAAGCCATACTGTAGGTATAGTACTTTAGTACAGTGTCACTGTTTGACTGTCTTAGCTGAAGACCTGGAGCAATAGGAGAGGAGAGAAATACATAATAGAAAATGGAGGAAAAGTTGAAAAACAACTCATATAAATATAGGACATTGTAAAAACATGTACATATAAATATGTGACAAGAGGAGCAACCATAAGAGAGGGATCAACGCACCATTTCTAACTGATTTCAGAGACACACGAGGAGAGTCAATATCTTCATTGTTATCGTCAACAGGTTGCTGCTGCTGCTGCTGATCAGCCACGGGCCCCCTAGGACCCTCCGCCATATTGAGAGGAAAATAATGTAACTTTTACTATGTGACAGCTACAAAGAACTCTTCAGTTTAAAGAATAAAGGAGAGGTTTATGTGCAAAAAGCAGGCACCATTACTGGATCATGGGCGGGACTTCCCCTCAGCGACAGGCGCCGAAAGCTCATAATGGAAGTGCCCAGTCAGCAAAAGATGACAATGCATGTACACGTGACAGTGACACAGAAACAGCAGCTGTGGTGGACATTTTACAAATTAACAGAATTATGAATATATAGTTTTAAAAATCACAGGCACAGATACATTTCGTATTACAACTAGTCAATAATTTATAGCAGGACAGCAGTTGGTACAGAGCTGCAGGAAAATAAATCGATGACAAATGAACGTTTATATATTATTAATCACTGATCAACGTTGAGTTGGCGATCTGATAATTTAATCTCTTGTCCTGGTTTAAAGGCGGGCATACCAAGATAAGGACAGCTAGCACACCTGAATGCATCACCTAGGTAACACTGAGAAAGAGAGACAAAAGATTACTGCTTGTATTAAACCCCTCTCTCTTACACTGCCACAAGATGAGGTCACGGTTTTCTTTACAGCTGGCTTTGAAGGATCAAGTAACTCATCGGCTAAACCACAAGAGCTATGGAATGATCTCAATCAGTTAAATGAAGTACAATATATATGGCATACCAGTTCTTACAAGCCTTTCTTTTACCACTAGATGGACCACATGAACCTATTCATGTGTTAATAAGAATGTATTATTATTCATTGTTATGTAACTACATGTACTCTTGATAATACACATGTGGTCATCTTATATCCTCTATCTAATTTCTCTGACATTTCTCTTATTCTTTTGCTCACTTTTCAGGCTTGAAGGATCCGGTCTTAAAAAATCCTCTTCATTCAATAAAGTATCAGAATCCATCAAATCCTACAAGAGATATAATCAAGCCACACCCAACTAATTAATTAAAACTAACCACATCATCATCCAGCATGTCATTTGCTGCCAGTGTCCATATTTTTGCTGACTCATTGTTACGAGAAGGGCCGGGCCGTAAAGGTGCGGTATAGTTAGAAGTTCCTCCGAGATTAATGGGAGCACTGGCTCCTAACTGATAGGAAGGTTTCTTAGCTTGAACCTTAACGAATGAGAAGAAGATAATTAATGAAGATTCAACAGAATATAGTATACAGACTTCTTCTTGGGAAATACAAAAATGATACTGAAACGAGTAAACATAAACATACATAACGACAACAAGTTTTACAAACAATCTCCGATAATGCGTATACATGTATGACACTATCATTACTGAAATTAAATTAAAAATAATAATTATTAACACAATATTATATACATGATGCATTTTATTCATTTGGGTTACCGTAGCAATCAAAACATTGTCGACGTTAATTCCAGTCTTGCTTAGCTCGTCTATCAGGCCTGCTTCATCTGATGGAGGTGTGCTGGAAACCTTTTAAAAATAAGAATACGTGTAAATGATACGATTAACAGACACTTTTAAAACCTTGAGCGGTTCGATAAAACCAGCCAATCTCAGAGACAATGACAACTGACTGAAAGTACGGAAAGAAGAAGAGGAACATCCTAAAGATAAAATGGAGGAGATAAAAAATTCACTGTACAATAATTATGCCAATTAAGTGGGTGTGGTTATTGCAACATGCAGGCATTCGATTAAAAAGGTAAAAAAACTGCAAAAAGCAAGTGAGTACTACATACCGTCTTTAACGATCGGTTCTTTTATACTGATACCGGCTGATGTTTTTAAAACACGTGAGACTTCCTCTAAAAGGTCACTGCCATGAACATACACTGTTGGAGGGATTGAACCCAATAATGCATAATCAAACGTTGATACGGAATACTCAGCTGCAAAAGAAAGAATATGAGGGCTAGCTAAGCTATGCCTTCTTCACCTGATTTTAGTCTATCAACATGTTCCAGCATTATATCAGCTCCTCCGTCCCTCTCCGCCCATTCCTCCCGTATACTAGTTAGTACAGGTTGGAGACTAGCTGGAGTGCAGCCTTCATGCCATAATACAAGAACCTTTCTCCTTTCCATGAGTTTGTGATGATGACAGCAGCAGCAATTCAACACGTTCGGGAACAGATTAAATTTCAAAATTCCACTTCTACGCTTTTATAGAATAAATACGGTAGATACATTCTGCAAAAAAAATTAGACATTAAGTTCTTTTTTCTGAGGCTTGAGCTATTAATCAAAGCCTCAGCTTAATTCCAGGGATATAAAAATTGCTAGGACCACCACATAAAGATTGGAGCATCTATAAATTACAGATTTAGAGATCTTGAGCTGCAAAAATAAATAAAATGAAAATAAAGATGATAATGTTAAATATTAAGCACAACAATAGATCCATCCCACAAAGAACAAGCGACTAATGATGGGACAGTTGGATGGCACTGAACTGCAATGGAAGGCATTGAAAATGAATGTCTCTTCCTAAGTCTCGTCGTGTGACAGTCATATACATACAGGCCTCCATCAGAACTACCAGAAACAAGATACTGACCATTATAATCAATATCAAATTGGGTTTTGTAGCCGCTCACTGAATGATGATCGTACCGCTTTCTCTTATTCATCCTGTAAGGTGGTTTAGAGGAGAAGATTACAATATAGTTAGCATTGGATTGAGCCATGAACTGTTCTTCATAAGGATGAGTCATAACACAGGGACAGGTATAAGGCTCGCAGTAAATCTGACTAGACTTTGCAACACTGAAAGAACAATCCCACACTAGCAGCATCTGACTCGCTGCATTTTTACGCACAATATCAGAAGAAGCAACCAGCTCTTTTCCACCATTGATAAAAGTAATGTCTAGTATTTGTCCTCCAGAACCGATAAACGAGTTAATGGACTTTTGGGTTCTGATGTCCCAAGATTTGACAGTTTTACATGAATCCCCTGTGACAAATACATTGNGATCAGTTGGATGAAGAGCTAATGCAGTCAATATGCCATCCAGTTTAATAGTATGTATTGTAATCATAGTTTCCATGTCTGTTTCATTTACAGCTTTATCATGTCCGCCACTTAAAGTCTGATTAGAATCATGCACCCATTTAGCAACCTGGACAGGAGTGCTTGAAATCAAAGAGGCAAGACAGTGATTCTTATGTGAGCTGTCCCACACTTTGACTGTTCTGTCAAGAGAGGAGGAGAGTAAAAGAGAAGGATGGGATGAGTGCCAGTCAAGACTCAGGACTGGCTTATCATGTCCTCTCCAAACTAAAGGATCTTTATTATGACTACTGATCCATGTACTAGTTGGTCCTTTTATAAAAGATGATAGAGAGCTGCTATTAGCTACAGAGTCTGTACTAGTTAAGGATGAAGGAGCATTATTAAAAGATGGAGTGGCACTGACTCCAAGCATTTTTCTCTTTCTTGTAGATACATAGCGGCCACTTGATGGAGTAACGGCTGTACTAATAATATCTTGAGAATTTGGACAGAATACTGTGGGTCTTTGGGGCTCAGAGTCTTCACTACTAGCTTCACAAACACCTTGATACTCCTTGGCAATAAGCTCCATTTTGTTGTAGGCAGAGCATCAACTCTATTTTAGCCACGCCCCTGAAATGAACACGTGGATCCACGTGTGCATTGCTAACCACGCCTACCAGTAGATAAGGGTGTGGTTTTCTATTGTAACCTTGGCAACATACATTTTTATAAAAATGGCTGCTATACCTCATCAAGGAATGGACGTATTGGCAGAAGAGAACAGAGAGGGAGAGGATGAGACGGAAGAAGAAGACCAGAGAGAGAGCATTGATGAAGATGAAGATCCTTCTGAGCTTGTTGTCCTTGATCCTTCTCATGTAACATAAAATTACTATTATTAATCAATAATCACTCTTTATATTGTACTCAATAGCCTCTTATGGAACGGGTCCAAGCTGCTTTGAGCGAACAACTTAAAAAACAAAATGAGAAACTGGAGCATGAAGTATTGGAAAAGGTTTGTATGAAATTTTCGCACCTACATTGTACATGTACATTATAATATAATAATACATGTATTATTATTTTTGCTGTTTTTATGCAGAGAGAGTCACTCAAAGCAGCGATAAAGACACGAGAGGAGATTGGAGTTGATTTGTATGGCGTACAGCAACAGCTGGCGAGACAACAGATGCTTATTGAAAAGGAACAGGTCAAATACTAATAATAATTTTTATTTATTTATTATTATTATTATTATTATTATTTATTTATTTATTTTAGGATAATCACAGTGCCATCATACAAGTACGTCATCAAAAGGAGCAGTCAATGCAGAATATCCAAGGAATGCACCAGAAGATGCAGGAGCAACTCAAGCAGGATGAAGACCATGGTAATGGAGGGAGCAGCAGCAATGTAATGTAATTTTATATTTCATTAAGTTATGCCAATTTTGCCTAAATATATGCATAAACTAATATTATTGCTTTCCCTAACAGCTCAAAACTCTATTTATTGCATTGTTGTAACTTTCTGGAATTTTGTGAAATTATTTACTAAATGCACCACAACTTAGGCAACAACAAAAATAATATTTATTATATTTTTTTATATTTATTATTTTTTTAATTTTATCTTGTGCGTGTAGCCTCTAATCTTAGAAGTGAGATGGAGAATGCTGCCATTAGACTCAACTACCTCAATGAAGCTCACTCGACTGTACAACAGGATATTGCTCTCACTGTGAGGGCCACTGAGAAAGCAGTGGCTGATGTTGATAGGGCTCAGCAAGACAAGCTCAAGCAAGTAAGGATAATTAGTCTAATTTATAGTGTTATACGTTTATAAGGATTATAGAATCTCATACAATAAGTAGTATTTCTCACAAAACATGCTAAGTGAGCTAAACAGCATGAGCTTCATGAGCTGACAAGCACTACAATACAGTACATGGCATTTGGAGCAACTTTAAAAATTCGTAAAAATTTTAATTGTGATTGGAATCAGCTCAAACTTTTTACGCAACTTAAGAACATGTATATGTATCAGGAAAAGTTATAAAAATGAAGAATTTTCTACTTTTCATTTTTGATGAAATTTGGCCAAAGTCCCTGTACTATAGTACAGAGACTTTGGCCCGATTTTGGAACAACTTTAAAAATTTATAAAAAAACAAATCTTGATTGGAATCGTCTCAAAATTGAAATATAGCATAAAAACATGTATATGTATCAGGAAAAAATTTTAAATGAAGAATTCTCAACTTTTCATTTTTGATGAAATTTGGTCAATTACCCTGTACTATAGTACAGGGACTTTGGTCTGAGTTTGGAGCAACTTTTAAATGAGTAAATAAGCTATAGCTATGATTAATTTGATATTTTCATCATTATCTTTTGTTAGGATTTATATCTTGATCGCTTGACACGTGAAGTTGAGCAACTTGAAGAGAAGATAGCCCTAGCTAACATGCAGTGTCAAGCTCAGGCCCAAGAAACTAAAGCAATGAAAGAAACACTAGCTGAAGCAGCAATGGAGCTGGAGGTAAGACTGAACTTCTTAATTTTACTCTTTCCCCCCCCCCCTCTCTCTCTCTCACTAGGCTCTGTGTTTTGAGAAGAAGAAGCTCATGGCCCAATGGAACAGCAGTCTGGTTGGAATGAAGAGAAGAGATGAAGCCTACTTTGCTATGGTCACTGCTAGAAAGTGAGTACAACTACAACTACAACTACATGTACATAGTAACTTGTTGAACTCTAATTGATATTCTGATAATACATGTACATGTACATGTAACTGTACATGTACATGTACAATTACATTATCATTTTTGGCAGTCTATAGATATGAATGCAGATTAAATGTACATGTAAGGAAACATGCATGTACATGTACGTGTACAGTTACATGTACATGTAACTGTACACATACATGTACATGTAACTGTACACGTACATGTACATGTAACTGTACATATCTAAGATACAAATGATAGTGAACATGTACATGGAAGGCTTTCTAAACAGTGGGCTGGTTTCATTTGTAAATTACATGTACATCTAAATTGTATTTCTAATTATTTATACCTATTATTATTATTATTTATTTTAATTATTTATTAGCATACAACAGCAGAAGATACACAGTACCAACACAGAGCAGGAGAATTACAAGAAGAGCATAGTACAGGAACAGGAGCAGAATGAACAACTGACACTGATACTCCACAAGATTGAGACCGACATTAGTCACGTGAAGCGGTACATTGGGCAGTGCGAAACTAAGACTGAAGCTTTTAAAGTTGAATACATGACCTACACCAGAGCTCTACAAGAAACAGAGCAAGCACTAACTGCAGTCACTGGGGTAAGGTAGAACACATAGATACATGTACAGAAACATTAATAGTTCACACACATAATGTAATGTACATGTACATGTATGTGTATGTACAGATGAGATAGGACATCAAGAAACTTTAACCTACACTGTACACTGTATGCTCAATCCAGCAAACATGATGTATCACACATCCATTGAAACACACACACACACACATTATTATTATTTACAGTTACATGTACACTGTATCACCAACCAGCTTTTAGAATAGGAAAAATACATGCAACATGATTTTTGCATATATATATATATACCTGTTTATAATATTCATTAGGAGTAGATCATGTGTACATGTACATGTTGCATGTGGACTGAATGTATTCAATGGTCCTCTAATGCTAGCTGTACATGTACATACATGTATATTCACACTGTAATTGAATGAGCCACTCCTTGTATGGGATTTAATTGTACCTTTCAAAGGATGTGCCCTCAGTATTTATGTACATGGTACCCATATTGACACAACACACACACACACAAACAGTATACATGTACATGTACATGTACATGTATATGAGCATTTATTTACACATTAATTATAGCTACATGTGATAGACATTGGAGGAGGGGATTTTGGTAAATTTGACATTTTGATAGCCATTCTCACCTAAATAAAACACCCCTCCCACCATTATGTCCATGGACACAAGACTAAATACATGTATTTACCAAGTTATGATTAAATCTATTTTAGGAGTGTACTATGAAGAGTAATGAGATACTAGCTCTGAGAACACAGATAGAGAGAGAAGGCCTGGAGAAGAGGAGGCTGGAAGATGCTGTCATGGAGAATATGATGCAGAGACTCACTATGGACAAAGCTACACAGTACAGTCAGAAATCACTTGAGAAACTACGGAAATCAGTCCAACAACTGGTAAGAAACAACATGGATACGGACATTTAACTTTTAGCAATCAATTAAATTATTATCTATTATAATTACATGTACATTTAATTATTTTTTAATTTAAGAATAATTATAATTTATTAAGCTGTACATGTACATGTATAGTCTCTCTGTGTGGCTTCTTGCTACATGTAAATCAAATTTAGAGTCAATTTGAGGTTTTAAAATCAAATATTGCCTACATGTGTATTTTCATACACTGTATGTGTGTACATGTACATGTACAACACCTAATTTCTCATTATTAAATAAAATAAATTACAATTTCTTATACAGCTACATATCATACATGCATGGTGTATAATTACTTGCACATTACAAAAGTACCTCTGAAATGAGGACACCTTTATATTAAGGACAGATAATGGTGTCCTTAATAAAGAGGCTACACTGTACAGGGATCATAATACATCATTACTCAACATTGTTTTATTTTATGTTAGGAAATGTCAATAGCTATAGTAGATAATGAGGTATCTCAAGCAGCACTGGAAGTGTCAAATGTTCTCTCAATGCTAAAGAGACTTGAAGCAGCTCTTGAGGAATCCAACGACGCCATAAAGACACAGAACAATGAGATATCAAAGAGCGAGGCTGAGATTGGACGCAACAATGCTCTCATAGAGAGAAAGCAGACTCAGATTGATCAGATGAATAAGAAAATCGAATTAAAAATAAGCAAAGCTGGAGGAGTAAGTGTACATGTACATGTACATGTACATGATTAAAGCATACCATATTTTTAGAGTACATGTACATGTACATGTGTGTGTGGGCGGTACATGTATTAGTAATCATGTTGCCATACCCTACACCTGTACATGTACACAATAACATGTGTACATGTACATCCATGTTCATATCCATACACATAATACATGTACATAACTACTATTATTATTATATTAATTTTGCTTGACACGATGAAATTATGCAAGTCCTCCGTAAACAGTGACAAATATGTACACGTACAGTATGTTCGTTACATGTACATGTACTTGACTACTTGTTACACGATATGACATTACTTTTACTAAAATGAGGTATGGACACTTGAAGTCTGTCGTGATTCATGAACACTCGTACTTTAATTGTTCGTTGTCTTTTTTAGGGCGAGAATCTCGGCCCCTGGGAAATGAGAATAGACGAGCTACAGAAACAGATATCAGACAGTTTGGAGGTGTGTGGGAAAATGCAGCAACATTGGCTACGACAGCAAAACGAGCTTGTCAAGAAGACTGCAGAGATTGACGAGCTGGTTAAAATGACTGACGACCTTCAGAAGAAGGAGCTCATTCTCTCACAGAAAAAGATTCGACTTGATGGTAATACAGTATAGTCTCTCTTAATGGACACTTTCTATAGCGTACACCTCCATTTAACGGACAGCACCTAGTGTACCAATTACATTCCTTACTGTATAAAATAACCTCCACATAAAGGACACCTCTGTATAACAGAGACACTTTCAAAGTGTCCATTATATAGAGGCTAGTCTGTATAATCATGATCCTACCTGTATGTACATGTACATTAGCATGAGACTATAACAGCATATTAATGTATTACAGAACAGAGTCTCCTGGTATATTAAATCATTTCATTGGGGCATGGCACTTTAATCCTTTTGAAGCTCAATTAGACCCATTCAGTCATATCCTTCATACCTTACTGTATGCCTCCTTCTATTTAATAATGATTCTAATTTGCATACTGTATACACTAGGTAACACCACCCCATCTCTAACCAATAGCACTCTATACACCATACATGTACAATAGTATTTATTACACATGATATTATACTTCAGTCATACTATATAGTCTGTCAAAGGATAGTTGCTACTTGTTTACCCGTTCTACTGGTGTTTACAACATAATGTCAAATGTATTTTACATGATCATGGAATAATGTGATTGTTAAAGGAGTAATTGGATTAGCTACTAGAAATGTACTAGCATGTTATTTGGTAATTGGCGTAGGCTTCTCTTTATGATTTCACCATTCGCATATCTAAAGATATTAGGACATGTACATGTACATGTACACTGAAGTATTATAGACTCCTTCATACTACAGTGGTGGTAGTAAGAATAATGCATAATGTAGTTTATGTGCATATTATCATTGATTAACTACATGGTATTATTTTAGAAAAGTTTCCTCCTACTGTACGTAATAATTCCTCTTAATATTTGCATGTATACGTGTACATGAATATTTGACACTATTATTATTATTATTATTATTATTATTATTATTATTATTATTATTATTATTATTATTATTATTATTTATTAAATGCAATTTTCATGTGCAGATGAGTTGACTGGTGAAGAGAGAAGTTATGTTGATGTAAAGAAGAGTATAGAGACACTCCAGAAGGACATGGTGAGGCTAAATGGACTCATCACTGGAAAGAAAGGAGAGCAGCATAAACTGGAGCAAAGCAACACCCTCCTTGAAAAGGACTTCATCTCAGCTTTAAAGGTACATACACATTATACTGTACATGTACATGTACATGCTGGTATATAAGTGTGTGTACTGTAGAGGGAAGCATTTATTTTTCTATTAAGAAAATATTTGTCATTTCTCGAAGCATTGGTTTTTGATGTGCATGGTGGCCGACATTACAAGTGTTTAATGTTGTGATTATTATAAGCTAAGGATATTAGCTAAGGATATAAGGATATTAACATACGGGAAAATAATATTATTATATTTTTTATAATGATTAAAGTATTATTAATGATCAGAGGATTGGTGAGCAAGGTGTTCAACCTTGTGGCAGTCATGTCCAAGTTCTTGTCATTCTGCCTGCTGCATCAAACAGTGTACAATAGTATACTAATAATATACTGATAATCTAGTAATAATTATACTAATAATGTACCAATAATATACTGATAATGTATTGCAACAGAGAGGCTGGAATGAAGCTTTACTTTTTTTGCATAATTCATTATTATTAGGAGGCAGAGTTGGAGTTCATACAGCTTCAGGTAAAACTAAACCAGCTCCATGAAGAGAAAGAAAGAGTTACCAACAGTTTACTAGAAGCTGAGTAAGATCAACACATAAACACATTCACGTACATGTACATGTACATAAATGCATACAGTACATGGTCCAAATACATGTACATGTACATATAAGCCACTGTTCCTCTATGTCACTCTAAATGAAGCCACAATCCAATAACAGGATTATTGTTCATACCAAAGCAGTCAGTGTGTGTATAGGTACATTGTACCCCTACATGTAAATGTAATTGTACATGTAGTCGTACATGTACATACAGCAGTGGAACACACATGTTCTCTGGTGGGGTAATTACATTAATGGATATCTGGTGTACTATAGCATGTTAGGTATGTTCTGTTTTCACACGCACCCTCTACCTCTCTCTCACCTGCACTAACACGTACATGTACATGTACATATACATGCATATAAGATATATCTTGATACAATATGTAAACATGTATAATAGTATATTATCGATGTACATGTACATGTACATATAAATTTGATACTCACATAATGATGATAATATTGATGTGCATATGTGAACGTGTATTGATGTACGTGTACGTGTACACGTAGGCATCAAATTATGCTGTGGGAGAGGAAGATAAAGCTAGCGAAGGAGATGAAAGACTCTGTTGATTCTGATGCAGGACAGGCCGAGATCAAAGCAATGAAAGCAGAGATACACAGAATGCAGGTAAAGTGTACATTATAACAATAAAGATAAGGAACATGTTGGAAACATTGTAATGAACATAAGCACAATCGTAATTAATCCTTGTACGCATTGCTGCAATGTTTACAGTATAGCCTCTCTTAATGGACACTCTCTATAGCGTACACCTCCATTTAACGGACAGCACCTAGTGTACCAATTACATTCCTTACTGTATAAAATAACCTCCACATAAAGGACACCTCTGTATAACAGAGACACTTTCAAAGTGTCCATTATATAGAGGCTATACCCACATTATGTGTGTCTGTAGGTGAGGTATTCTCAACTACAAAGACAGCAAGAGGCCATGATACAAGAAATGGAGAAAGCTGTCTATCGAAGGGAAACCATCATACAAAGGTACTTGTACCTGCATCATTATTGTATGTACATGTACATGTATTTTATTGTTAATACAACCCATATTAATACCCTGTACATGCATCATGTGTGCATATTATAATACATTTGCTTATAGAAATGAAGCTCAATCCAAATCTGGTAAGAACAAGCAAACTCAGGGCTACTTGAAGAAGAAGATTGCTGACACAGGACGGAAGATCAAACAGACCCAGAAGGACATATCAAAGTACATTAAAGAGACAAACACGCTGGTTGACTTGAATATACTACTGATGATCCAGTAGTGTAATTTATTGGACCATATTGAGGAGGAGGGAGAACACCTTTTGTGTTCTGATATTGAGTTATTCCAATTATATCACTAGCCCTCTCTCTGCATGTGCATACATGAATCATTGGACTCACTGATAATGAGTTTGTGGTGTAGCTAATGAGACATAAATACTTACAATTATTGTATAAACATTGTTACTCTTGGGTAGCTTGAGATATGTACACGTACCATAAATACAGTCCATCCTGTTTCAAGGTGTGTGTGTGTGTGTGTATAAGTAATGGTAATACCTGAGGACTGAGATATCTGCTTGAGGGTGAAGCTGAGGGCAGATATCAAGGGACTCAGGTATTACATTCATTTGGCTATTATAATTATAATAATAATATTATTTCATTTAATATTAAATACATTGTGCCTGCTACACTCTTACAGACATTGTCTAAGCCCATATCTGTCACCATTACTCTTAAATGCATATGCCTGTATCTAATGGTGTTTCAGTAGTAGCCATTAGCCCTTACCAGACGATAGACTGTCATTGAGCAATGTGTCGAGGTGAGAAATATGCTACACAAGCCCCCATTAGTAATATATGTTCTCCTATTATATTATGGAGGTAGCCCTGGCCATAAAGCATTTGGTAGGCCTGTAGTTGGTGGTCATGTGCCTGTTAGTACAATGTCTTATCTCAGTGGGATCACTACTGTATAAATGGACTTCTACAGAATATGTTGCAGTTTTAATGTTATCACCTTTTGCTTGAGGGGAGAACATGTACACATGCCTGCCTCCCTCTCTCTCTATCAATATGGTAATACTTATACTGGCTTGTGTGTGTTTGTGTGTGTGTATGTATCAGTAGTAGGAGCACGTGTGTATTCTGTGAATAGATGGCACTGTGTTTTAATACAAGCATTGAGATTTGTTTCATAGTAATCACTTGTACTGAAGGAATGCAATTGGAGACGATTTTAAACCTTTTTCATTCTTTTAATAAAGTACATGTGCACTTAATAAAACCTCCCCTCTCTCTCTCTCCCTCTCTCTCCCCCTCTCTCTCTCTCCCCCTCTTTCTCCCCTCTCTCTCTCCCCCTCTCTCTCTCTTAGCTGTGAAAGGAGCATTGGGGCTACGGTGAAAGCTCAAAGTGACATTATGAATGAAATACAAGAGAGAGAGGCATCCTGTGAAGCACTTAAAGATGACAAGGAGTCTCTACAGCAACAGTTACAAGAGACAGAGAAGTCTAAACAAATGGTACAATAGACCCACTACTGTACTCTACGCTCACTGCAGTGTTTGTTGCTGTGTGTGTGTGTGTTTGTGTGTGCAAATAAATTTACATAAAATATTGTACTAGTTACGCTGATCCCTATGTGTGAGTTGATGGCTAGTATTGTAACAGCATGCTTTTATGGAACTTTTAATAACAACAATATTGACTTTAATTAATTCTAATCCAAGATTTAGTCTAGAGGTCAAACCGCTTGTTTAAAAGAAAATAATAATAATAATAATATGTACATGTACATGTACATGGCCCATGAACATATGGGTACATGTATTTTTAACAATGAATAAGAATGATAGAGTTATCATAATGATTTAGAGATTATATGTGTCTATTATATATTTTCCATCATAGGCAATGTTTGAATTATTATATACGCAGTCTCAAGTTAAAAGTCTTACAGCAGCAAAAGAGAACAAGTATCGTCTCCTACACAAAAGCAGCGAGGCTCGTTTAGCCGACATGCAAAGACAAAAAGAGAAATTGCAGTCATTTTGGAGCGTCGTTCAAAAAATCGAAAAAGAAGAATTGAGCCAACATCCACTTCTAGAGACACTGGGAGCTCAAATTATGACCAGATTAAAGAGACTACAGCAAGAGGAACCATCAACAGTGACAGTCTCGTGATGGCTGTGTACTGTTTGAAAGATTACTTGGACACACACCCACACACATACACATACATGTATATTTTATTGTATTAGGTAGGGCTACATGTACCAACACAACACACACCCAATGCATAACAGTGACATGGATAATCAGATTAATAATGATTAATAAATAATTAATTAAATAATCCTCACATAAAAGGAAATTGCAGGAGAAGGAGAAAGGACATTATTGTTTAGCTACTATTGGGCTCGTTTTTATTCAGGAGCGGGTCTGGAGCCGAGGGAATGTGGCCAGACGAGCAACAGGACGGCTCATCCAGTAGCCTCTCACCGTCCCCTGGACCAGATAGCCCAGCTAGTCACGTTCGAGCTGGCACGACCATACTCATCAATGGATCCTCCATACCGGCCAGTTCTAACAGCAGCTCAAGCGAGGAGACACCAGTAAGACAAAGCACACCTTTACAAGTAGCCCATATGGGTAAGTGGGTCTTTGTCTACACCTTAGTGTTTATTGCTCTCCCTGTTTTAGCTTATTATCCAGTCGTTTTATCACGACAATTGGAGCAAATGCAATCTGACTTAGTGCATGCTGCAGCACAGGACTACTCTCCTCCTCCTCCTTTCTCCCAGGGCAGTAATACTAGCGGGACTAGGAGCACTGGTGAGCCTCAAGGAGGAACTAGACTAGTAGCCATATCAAATGCCAGTCTCCTAGCTGCTGCAGCTTCACCAGGGACTCACTTTATTGACTGTGGGAAGTGCCAAGTGAAAGAAATGGAGATCAGGCAATTGAGAAAAAGAGTCCAAGCACTTGAAGAGCAGCTATGTAGAGCCATTGGAAGTAAGACATGAATCAGTCCTTGATAATTACTGTTTATTTCATCAATATCTTATAGGTAGGACTAGTAGTGTTAAAGTTCTTGATCCTGTAGTATTTGGCGGTAAACCACACTCAGTGCAGCCTGGACTCCAACAGCAGCAGCAGCAACCCCTCACTCTACAAGTGAGTCAATTCGTTCCACCTCCTCAGACCTTGCGAACGGTTCCACCATCACCACTTCCTCCATCGTCACATGAAGATGAAGAAGATGACAGCAAGCTATTCAAGCAAAGAACCCCCGAGAGAGCAATAGGGAAAAGCAGAGGACACTCTGGACTGATAGGAGGAGGGCACACTGTACTACCAGTCATTGGACACACTGCCTCTTCATCCTCATCCTCAGAGAAGACAAGCATTAGCGGTGAAAGTGGCAGTGCCACAGTTACAAAACTCTCCGTGTTGGAAAGCCAGGTGAGGTGATGTTGTCTGTTCCCTTACATGTGTAACAACAACTTGATACATGAATCATTAATGTACGCCTGACATTGCAGTATTAGGCCCACTGTATTGTACTATGTGAACTCCGTATAATATTATAATGATGATGATTATTGTCCATTGACAGGGTATGTCTGGTAAACACGGCAAAGATGATGACGATGCTATTGAACTGGTCCCTGGTACTAATGTGTTTATCTCAACTGCAAGACTGCAGCAAATACTCTCCATTGTGAAGACAGGGAAGCAGCTGGCAAGGAAGTTGATGAGTGTCTACTGGGACAGGATGATATTAGCTCGGTCAACGCTCTCCGCTGCTAGTCAGCATTACGAGCAACTCGATCCTAAAATAATATCGGCCATAAAAAGTAACTTTAATATAATATAAAATATTATCGTTATTATAATCACATTGTAGCTTATTGCGTCCTGTTTGACACCTCAGCAAGAAAGTCAGAGATTCACTCTACGATGATAGACAAGTGCGTTCAGGCCAGGCGGCCTAGAAGGTCAAGCCTCAAGCAGCAACAAGAAAGCACGACACCAAGACTGCAGCAAGTAATGGATATCGGGACGATCGGGCGAACCTTAATTACCACCAGTGTTCCTGTTACTCCTCCTCCTGCTCCTGCCCAGTATATTGTAAGTCAGGTGATAGGGGGTAAGGAGCAGTACCACATTGAAGGGGCTGGTACTACCAGTGGTATTCAGCAGCAACCCGAAGTCGTTCATGTGACTTCGCCGTATCAATTCACTTCACATCATCACCACAGCATTCACCAGTTGGACACAACTACCACTACCAGTGGATCACTGTCTGATGAAGATGATGATGATGAAGAGGAGGAGGAGGAGGAGGAGGAGAGTGAGAGAGTTCTCACAATACACTCTTAAGTATCAATAGTATGAAGAGAATGATGTATTGTACCAATCTTATATTATCAAACTATTACGTCCCATTCTGTTTGGCAGTCATCACTTTTAAGTCGACCAGTCTATTGCTCTCTGTTATATTATCATCATCCTTATTATTATTATCATACCAATTGATTTATCGCTCGTTATAATTATTATCATTATCACTATCATTATTATTATTATTATTATTACTACTATTATGCCTATATTAATTATATGATGCATTCCTCCTAATGATGCGAGTGTAATACACTTGCTGTTGCTGTTTTTTAAATGCCTTGTTGATGTTATCATTTTTTAAAAAACGATTGAAATAAAGAAAATAAAAAATCAAAAACGGACAAGGAATAAAGTACATAAGCAAGTCCCAGGAATCCAGCAAAGACAATGAGGGCCCACCACAAGTTCTGAAGTAAAATATAAAATAATAATATTAATTCTCATATATATATTTGATATTAACTACTGATAGTAATAATGCTTTATGAATGAGGAATTTGATAATAAGTATAAACCTCCAAGTATGCCATTAAGTAATAATATTAGCTAGAAATTTAAAAGGTTTGAATAAAATGAATTTCATAATCCAAAGACATTGCATTCCAATTATAATTCTTTGTTGGCACAAGCTCTTAATAGGCAGAAATGGGACTAGCCACTGCTGCTGATTCAGGGCTATAAGATGTTACTGTTATTAAGGAAAGACAAAATTTGCATACCATTCTATTGCCATTGCAATGACAGACAACCTGTGAACAGAATGGACCAATTCAGTGCAACCTATATGTAACCTGACAGTCTGAAGCATCAAAAGCATAACAATCTATTTCCATCGCTCCATTATAATAAAGTATAAGATTTCCATTTTTTAAAGGAAAATGGCTCGCTTACAATTTATATTTTTATATCGTGATTGAATAGCTTAGAAGATGTAAATTTGGAAATATTCTTTGGCAGTATGTTCAATCCATGCATTAATCATGTTCTTGGTATTAATTATTTTATACCTGGTATAAAGCTTATAGCTACGTCATGCTAATGGACGAAGGAATTTAGATGAGGATTGCAATTAAGAGCCGAAATTACATCTAATAAAACCCAAAAAGGCTACACTGTAGTCACAATAAAGTCTTTGGCAGTTATGTAATGTTGCACAACACAAGAAAAGGTCAACTTAATGCTCTCTATTTATACATCAATCAAACAAAGGTATTGTCAAAATAATTATTTTTACAATTAAGCATGTGTATAATTTGACAGAATATGCATTAGATGATCAATAACTTTTATATATAAATCAAATAATTTTTATTTCTTTCTGGATTGTATCAGCATTCATATAATGGGCTAGGGTTAAAGGGTTAAAGTGTAAAGAGGTTTGGGGTCGTTATTATTATAATCAAGTAGATGAACTTCCAGTTAAAACAAAAGAAGCTTCATAACTATTGATACAATAGCTCAATTTAATATTCAAACTTTGCAAAGACAATAAAATAAATTGCATTTTGATTCTATGTGACAGATATTATTTTAATAACAATAAAACTGCAATAAGTTAAAGAGACATAGCGTGTTCAAGAAATATGACACACTCTAAACTTAACTTCTAAATACCTTAGCTTATAGATTTAATGTATTAAAATATATGTTAACATAATGACTGGTAGTTGCTAAGCAAAACATCGTTTTTATAGTTGATAGTATTTTAAGATCATGTATAAGTATTAATGAGTCAAGTAATGTTAATCGTTTAATTATTCTATTGAAAGTAATTAGCCCAACCCAATATAGATGCGAATTAATACAACACAAGGTACCACCCAATGGTAGTCAGCCAGTCAATAACACTGTTTATGTCACAGGGTGCAAATTTGACGCCTACCTGAAATTGCTGGGTTGGCTGAAAGTTTTGAATCTCTTTGTGCCTTAGCTCCCTTGGTCTGTGCCGTCCACGCAGTTCATGCTTTTCTCTAGTACCTTTAAAGAGGTAATGGGTGCATTTAAAGTTGCAGGAGATGATGACTCACCTAACTTCTGTCTGTACTGGTCAACCGAGAGCTTACTCCTGCCACTAGAGCTATTGTCCTTTCTTCCCATTTCTGATAGTACAATAAGTCATACACGCCTTTAATATTGCGTGGGCTGAGGGTTCCTCCTTGTTTCCTCCTTCTAAGACTAAACTGCAAATACCTTCAGAGGCCTTCATGAGAAAATTAAACCAAAGCCCCACTACCCAGTGGATTTTGTTTCACTTTAGCTGCAAACACATGACAAGTTTTAGTAGTAAAAAGATTGTGAGTCATGATGCATGTTAATTTTTTTGTAGAGTAAATCTTGAAGTTGCTTTTGCACCTACTTGAGCTACGCCCACGTAATTTTAATTAATTAACATCTAGGGTGTGGCTCAGTGCTGAGCTATGGCAGTTTATATCAGTTCAGTGTTCCTATTGCTTCTCTGCAGCAGTTCGTTACTACTAGAGGTCTCAGCTGGAGAGAATGCTGTACTGAATGTTCACATAGTCCCTCATACACACGATGATGTTGGCTGGCAGAAAACTGTTGATGAATATTACTATGGAGGTATATACTAATAGCAATTTTCAATAAATAAAATTATTGCTGTACTATTATATTGTTTGACAGCTAATAAAAGCATTGCACAGGGATCAGTACAATACATACTGGATTCAGTCATCACTGAACTGGGTAAGAATGAAGAGAGGAAATTTATTTACGTGGAAATGGCCTTCTTCACTCGATGGTGGAGCGAACAACCTGATGACATCAAACAGAAAGTATAACTGTATTATTATTATTATGTGCTTTAGTTATTGTCCTCTACAGGTTCATGAATTGGTGGATAGTGGGCAGCTGGAGTTCATTAATGGCGGGTGGTGCATGAGTGATGAAGCCTCCACTCATTATAATGCCATCATTGATCAGATGTCCATTGGCCTGAGGTTTATTGCTAACACGTTTGGTGTTAGCCCTTCCGTCGGTTGGCAGATTGATCCATTCGGACACTCGTCTTTTCATGCTACTTCATTCTCTTTGGTAAATACAGTGAAAAATACCATGAGCTATAGAACTTCATTTATGTATCATTTATTATGGCCATTTTTAAAAATTAGCACATTTTTTGAAAAAATCCCTGTACTATAGCCCATGGTTTTTCCCAAAAAATGGCTCCAAAATCACCTCCCATTTTTATTACATTTTCTGATACATATTGATGTCCTTATGTTGTGTAGAAAGTTTGAGTCGATTCCGACTTAAATTTTTTGAGTTACGGCCATTTTAAGAAATGGGCCAATTTTTAAAAAAATCCCTGTACTATAGCCCATGGTTTTTTTCCAAAAAATGGCTCTGAAATTACCCCCAATTTTTATTACATTTTCTGATACATATTGATGTCCTTATGCTGTGTAGAAAGTTTGAGTCAATTCCAACTTAAATTTTTTGAGTTGCGGCCATTTTAAGAAACAGGCCAATTTTTGAAAAAATCCCTGTACTATAGCCCATGGTTTTTCCAAAAAATAGCTCTGAAATCACACCCAATTTTTATTACATTTTCTGACACATATTGATGTACTTATGCTGTGTAGAAAGTTTAAGCCAATTCCAACTTAAGTTTTTTGAATTACGGCCATTTTAAAAAATGGGCCAATTTCTGAAAAAATCACTGTACTATAGCCCATGGTTTTTTCCAAAAAATGGCTCCAAAATCACTCCCAATTTTTATTACATTTTCTGACACATATTGATGTACTTATACTGTGTAGAAAGTTTGAGTCGACTCCGACTTAAATTTTTCGAGTTACAGCCATTTTTAAAAATGGGCCAATTTTTGAAAAAAATCTCTGTACTATAGCCCATGGTTTTTTCCAAAAAATGGCTCCAAAATCACCCCAAATTTTTATTACATTTTCTGATACATATTGATGTCCTTATGCTGTGTAGAAAGTTTGAGTCGATTCCGACTTAAATTTTTCGAGTTACGGCCATTTTAAGAAACGGACCAATTTTTGAAAAAATCCCTGTACTATAGCCCATGGTTTTTTCCAAAAAATAGCTCAGAAATCACCCCAACTTTTAATTACATTTTCTGATACATATTGATGTCCTTATGCTGTGTAGAAAGTTTGAGTCGATTCCGACTTAAATTTTTCAAGTTACAGTCATTTTAAGAAACGGACCAATTTTTGAAAAAATCCCTGTACTATAGCCCATGGTTTTTTCTAAAAAAATGGCTCCAAAATTACCTCCCATTTTTATTACATTTTCTGATACATATTTTGAGTACATTTACTGTAGTGTACTATTACTTAATTTATATTTTAGTTTGGATTTGACAGTATGATGTTTGGTCGGCTTCATTACGAGGATGACGAAATTCGTAGAAACACGTCACAAAGAGAAATCATATGGAAGAGCAGTCCATCCCTGGGCAACATTGCTGATATATTTACTGAAGTATTGTACGGACATTATGCTGCTCCTCATGGTTTCTGCTTTGATTTAAGATGCAAGGACCCTCCAATTATGGTCAGCTCCAATCATTTCAATTCTCACTATTCATTAAAAAGTGTCTCATTGGTTTCTCTAGGATGATAATAATTTGTATGACGATAATGTGAAGAGTAGAGTGGATGAGTTTATAGAAACTGCACTAACTCAAGTAAGAATTGAAGTTTTATTATTATTATTATTATTATTATTATTATTATTATTATTATTATTATTATTATTATTATTATTATTATTATTATTATTATTATTATTATTATATTATGTATTAATAATTACCTTTTGAAGGCTCAAAGTTACAAGACTAATAACATCATCATGACAATGGGAGGTGATTTCCAATACGAGAATTCTCGTGAGTGGTTTGAGAACTTGGACAAACTCATAGCTTATGTCAATAAGGTAGTCACTGTACAACATCAACAGTATATTATACTCTTATAAAACACATTATTTATTCTTTATTATATAGAATGGCTCTATCAATGTTATGTATTCAACTCCGTCAATTTACACAAAATATGTCAATAGTGACAAGGACTTTAGACTATCCACTAAAAGTGATGATTTCTTTCCTTATGCCAATGCTCCTTGGGACTACTGGACAGGTACTATAGCAAGGAATGTATGCACATTTTGATCATTTTCCTCATTTTTAGGTTATTTCACTAGCAGACCTGCTTTGAAAGGTTACGTGAGGCAGTGTAATGCTCACTTGCAAGCATGTAAGCAATTGGAAGCAATTCATAATGGAATGGGAGACAAGGGACCCTCTTCAATAAAACTACGTTAGTAATATTATCATTATCATTATTATTATTATATTTTATTTTATTTATTCTTTTTTTATAGAGCAAGCAATGGGTGTTGCTCAACATCATGATGCTGTCTCGTAAGTAATAGTTTTACAATTTTATTTTATTATGTACCTGTATACAGTGGTACAGAGAAGCAGCATGTTGCTGATGATTATGCCAAGAGACTTCATGTTGGAGAAGTTGAGTGTCGTTCTGTAATGGCGACTGTCCTCAATGATCTTGCAGCTAAAGGAGCTAATGCACCTAAAATGAACTTGAGTTTCTGTGAATATCTTAACATCAGTGTGTGTCCAGTAACTGAGGGAGGAGATGTAAGTATGACAAAGAGACTTTCATTACTTTGATACTGTGTCCTTATAGTTCAGTATGGTAGTGTATAACTCATTAGGGCGTCCTTACACTGGTGTGGTTCATATTCCTATTATAAAGAGGAACATAATAGTCACTAGCCCTGATGGTAGTGCTGTACCAGTACAGGTATTAATAATGAGTGTATTAATGTGGCTATCATCTCTTTGATAGGTTGTTCCTATTAGTAATGTAACTAAATCACTATCACTGATTGTTACTGGTGATACAAAGGCTGAATATGTTGCTGTATTTGAAGTGACTGATGTACCTCCCTCTGGCTATGCCATATACACCAGTAAAACTA